TGAAATATACAACTTTTATTCACAAAACGTCTTCCAAAAATTCTTGGATCTCAAGTTACAATTTTATGAACATAGGGTCATGAAATAAAACACTTAGTGAAATTTTGCCCTAATTTGGACAGGATTTTGACCTAACTTCATGACACTTTTTCACATAGTTCCAAGGGGAATATTCCAAATCAATTCAAATATGGGTTGTAGAGCGTGATACAAGCTTTCCAAAATGTCAAAGAAATCCTTGAGATCATTCTTGATTAGGGAGAATCGAAGAGATGAAGTTAGGGTTTTGTCACTTAATTTACAAGCCATTTTGTGATGAATAAGAAGTCAATTTCAAACCCATGCTGCACAATCTTGTTTTGCAGGCCTCTAAACCTCAAGATCTATCTATAATCAGAATATTAAACTTGCTTTTGAGCTATTATCCAAGTGTTCCAAGCATTGTCCAATCCAATTTTCCATTTTAGGAAGAAAGATACCATTCCATTCTTGAAAAGTTGCTTTAATCACAAAGTCAACTTGTCTTGAGCTTCTAACTTGTTCTTTCTGCACACACAACCCCTATAAACCATAAGCAATGTGTCTAAGGTCTCAATAAGCTCAGAACATGCTTGTATAATACTTGAGATTTATCACTTCACTTTTCTTAAAAAGCAAGTTATAGAGCCATAACCCTATAACTCAGAAACCTTGAGTGATTTTGTGCTCTAATATTTTCCATACATATTAACAAGTCAATTGCAACACAACACATGTTTGGACAAGCCCTAAAACACTTCCAAGTGCCTTGCTGCACAGAACTACCCAAACTTGACAATTTTAAGAAAAAACTCACCATTTTCATTTCCACTAGTGCATTTTGAAAACTAATCATCCAAACACCTTCCATACATCATATCAAAGTGATCCAGGCTCTCATTTCCTAACTGTAACTCCTCCATCATCATCCACCATTTTCAAAACTGAAGCTTGCAACTTGACTTAAGTTGGGAGTTCCAGCCATCCTCAAAGCAAAGTAGGAGTTGGAACACATTCAAGGAGGTCCAGGCAAGCTACAAAAATTATCAGGCTATCACAAAGGTTTCTCAAACTCCATACACGACTCCAACTGCAAGAGATAAGTTTTCAAACTTCTATCTCTTCATACATGCATCATTTGAGTTTGGTTTGTGAAGATAAAATGTAGATACCATTGAAGCTGTACATGTCCATAGTTTATATTTATATGGCCTGAGCTTAGAGAATTTTAAGGTTGAAGTTTTTAGAAATTTTTAGGTTTTGAATTAGGGCTAGAAAAATTATCATTCATCTTTGATTGTTAGCTTAAGTTGTTTATATGGTTGGATTCGTGGGAAAAATGCCACAACTTTCATATTTGAACTTTTCATTTTTGTTGAGAGATGAAGAAGATACAGGTCCTTTGGCTGGAGGTTGAAGATGAAGTGTAATCAGGGCGCGTTTTGTGTTATGTAATTATTGTTTCAGTTATATTAACGGATGTACAGCCACCCCAGTGGTAAGGCAACGTGTGTTATTGGTAGAGGTCATGGGTCCGAACCTCAGCGCTGCCTTTTTGCTTTTGTTTTACTTTTTTGGTCATTTTTCCTTTCATTTTTGCTTCAGCAAATAGGCGTTGGGCCTTTTGGGCTTAGCTTTTATTTTTTTTTTTGCTTACTAACCCCCTGCAGGCTTGTGACACCCCTGGCCCATTTATTTTATTTTCCATTTTATTTTCATTTTTATTTACTTAAATATATTTTTTAAAATACTAAAAAAATAATAAAATACAAAAAATAGTAGATTTATATTTTAAATTAGTTTATTTATTTTTCTCACAAAAATATATTTGACCACACTTTATTTATTTTACTAATTATTCTTGTAAATTTAATTAAAACTAGGCTATTATTTATTTTCTTTTACACCAATTAAAATATATTATTTTAATACCAAAAAGACTAAAAATATTTTATAATGCTATAAATATTTTCAAGATAAAAAATGCCAAAAAAAATACTTTTCTTCAACTTATTTTCTTTTGATTAATTAATAAAATTAGGATTTTCATCTAAAATCTTTTCTCAATAATTTCAAACTTAATAAATTATTTTCTTTATTTTATTAGGTTAAGGTAAAATTTCTTTTTCATAAAACATCAAACAAAATATCCATTTTCTTCACACTTACCTTCTTGCATATTTAATTCATCTTGTACATTATTCATTTCAATTCTTGTATAAATTCAATTTGGTTGTAATAGACTAATTAGGGTTTAATTTCTTGCAATCCATATTTGTAATTGGTACACCCCCTCTCACAAATATTGTAATAGCGTAGTAACTTTAAATTTCGCAATTTATTGCTTTTATATAACATGCTAGTAATTAGGGTTTGTATGGAAAGACTAAAACCAATACTTAGAAAACCCTAATTCAAGACAAAAATAAGCATGAAAACAATACATTTGCACACAAACACCCTTAGTATTATTCCACTTGGTTGCTTTATACAAAATGGCCATATTACGCATGTAAGGTATCTTAGCAAAAATAAGCAAATACAAGATCATGGTCCCTCGATGACGCTATCTAAGTTGTCTTACAAATTATCTTAGCCCCTCAAAAAGTATGCTAAGATACTTTGCAACATTGTTAATCATGGTTATACGATGACCCACGCCCGTCCCGTTTACATCCAATGATAGGGTTGCTTACCAAATCAATGGTACGACAACAATGTCAAAGGAAAGGAAAATAAACAATAAAGGCATTTGAGTAGGTAGATTGCTCCTAATTACTTTCTCCATTTCAAAACAAACATCCTTGCTATTTTCAAAACAAACACATACACTTTCAAACATCTTACAAAATTGAAAACATTTTCAAAAGATCAAACATCTTTGTATACATTCTTACAAACAAGAATCATTACAAAGATTGCCTAAACAATGGTCTCTTTACAAAATACTTTCAAAAACCACATCAAGCACAATTTCAAACAAAAAAGCAAGTGATCTATCAAGTAACTAAGAGCCCATGGAAAACCATGGATGAAAAGGGTGTTAATACCTTCCCTTTTCATAATTTATCCCCCGAACTCAAGAAATAATCTCAAAGGTCTTTCCTGTGCTTTTTCACCTTTCCTTTTGGATAAAAGAAAAGTCGGTGGCGACTCTTGCTAACCGCAACATTTGCGATCAAATGCAAAACCCTCAAGTCAGTTCTCCCACCGTATCACAGTTAGGTATTCAACACTTTCTAAACTCATACTTGCTTGCTCATTCCCAAACTCATTTTGGCATCGGAGTATCTTGCAGGTACTCCTCCTACACTTCACTCTCAACTTCTGCTCGAGTTAGCTGTGAAGGTCCATTCTGGTCAGGTACGATCAGAAACATTTAAACCACATGTTATTATCATCAACATGAATAGCTGCAGATAAGACTTTCAAACAAAACAGCTTCGACACAGAACACATAAATATTGTTCAAAGGTAAAGGATATATATATATATATATATATATATATATATATATATATATATATATATATATATATATATATATATATATATATATATATATATATATATATATATATATATATATATATATATATATATATATATATATATATATAAGCATGTGTAAACACATATAACTATAACTATTGGAAATTTGAAAAACTACAAATAGAGCAAGAATATAAAGGAAACATTGAAACAACAATTTACTATCTTCAACATGAAAAGCTGCAGAAAAGACTTTCAAACAAAACAACTTCAAAGGTGTGTTAGTGACGATCATGATAAAAGGTGTATGTTAAAACAAAGCAAATACTTTGAGGAAATAAAGGAACGACTTTCAGTTTTCTGAAGAAAAAAAAGCCATTAACAGAAATGAGAGTTTGATATCTTAAAAAAATAGTAACTAAACAAGCGATCATCATTGTTTTACTTGACTTGCAGCATTCAACGGAATCCTTGAAGCAAAGTGATGAACATACATTTGTTGGTTGTATGAAAGTTTTTGAAAGAGAGATTTAGATAAGATTCTTCGATGGGAGAAAGAAAGGGAGAAAGAGATATGAAAGGAAAGTAGATTTAAAGAAAAGTATAGTGTAGGGAAAGGTTGAGGGATAGGTGGCGCAAGCGGGTTGAATAAGGAGCGTAGAAATTAAGGTGTTTTTGAAATGGCTAAGTTTCCCTTTGTTAGTGTGTAATGAGTTGGACCATTAAAGAGTAATATAGATTTAGGAGTGACATTGTATATTAATAAATAGATAATAGATAGTAGATAAGTGTAATTCTAGTGACTAGAAGAAAAAAAAATGAAGAAATCTATATTTTTTGTCTAAAATCTTTGACTACAAAACAAACCTTATATTTATCAAACATTTTTTTAAATTTTAATATCTTTTTCAAAACCTATTTACAACCGACTTTTTTGTAATATTTATTTTAAATATTAAAAAGTTCTCCTTTTATCGTTCCCAACACAGATGAAAACATGCAATAAATATATATAAATAAAAAATGTACGCGTTTCAACTATACTCTCATTCCTACTAGCTTCACCTACCATACAAAGAATCTTATACTTATGTGATGTAGGAGTAAGAAAATCTTATTTGTATATTCAGGGTCGTCTTTGAGGGTGTGTAAGGTAAACTATCGTACAAGGCCTCAAGTTTCTCTAAACTAAATTATAAATAAATAAAATCCCATAAAATATTTATCGGATTAAATCGTAATTTAGTAAGACTTCTATTTATTTTTTTATGATTAAATTGTTGCTAATCTACACATGGCCTCCAAAAACATGAGAGGACTCTGTATATATTCACAGCTTTATGTGATTATTTGATACCGATTTGATGCATCTGTGGGCATTTCTTATGCCTTTTAATAATAATATTGGCTTTTAAAAAAAAAAACAATATCACCCAAAAAAAACCTTACCATTAAAAACAAAAAAAAAAATCAGAATTGAAAGAAAAAAATTAATGGCCAATTCCAGGGCTTGGGAAAGATACAATAAGATGACGACCATCCATGCTTATGAGGTGTCGTTCTATGAGCTTCTCATCAACAACAACAGCATGTCCTTTTTTAGTTGGAGAAGAAGATGGAACAGTACCCTTAGGAAGTGCACTTAGAAACAAACTATCCCTTGAAGATCGCCTCATGTTCATCTTTTTCCACTCCTTCTGTGCTCTCACAACAAGATTTCTTCCTTCTAAACAATAACAAAATGAAGCAAAAAGAACCAAGAATATGAGTAGGGAAGTGCTAGATCGTGCCATGTGAATGAATTCCAATAATTGCAAAAATAATGACACAATTGAGATATAGGAAAGTGCTATAATATAGTATTAGTAATATAGAAAGAAAAAAAGTGAGTTTGAAGGGCAAAGTCAAGAGAAAAAGATATGTGGGGTTTGAAAATATGTGATTTGGACATGAGGAGCAATGGTATGGGCTTGCGTTGTATTGTTCGATTTGAATAATACATGAATCTTGGTAATTCAGAAATTAATTATTCAATGAATTCAAACTTAACACTGGGCATGAAAATGAGACTAGTAACTAAATTCAATGAAATATCTATTAGTTTAATATAAAATCTAAGCTAAGTCAACTTAACTAGCACGGATCTTATTTTCGAAGATATTTAAGAGTATTTAATTTGATGCTTAGCAAATATCCTAAATAAAGAACTTAATTATTATTCTTTGGTACAATTTTAAAACTTTATTTACTAGTCGTTGTTACTTGAAAACAATTATTAAAATATAACGTGAGTTATTTTTATACAAGTGTGAAGACAATGTCAATGATTTTAGGTGAGCGGTACACTTGTTTATTTTTTTATTTTTTTATGCAAATTAATGAAACAATCTTAAGAAAGATATTAACATATTATTATCAGTTTAACTCTATCATTTACTTAACTCAATTGTAAGTAAAAAAATAGTTGTTCAATTTGATAGACTTAAAGTAAATATAAATTATAATCTATTCGCATTTAATTTATTATGTTACAAACACTCTTTTTTTTCATATAAGAAAAAGTAAATTGTATTAATAAATTAATATAAAAATAGAAGGAAAACAGTAACAAGTTGCGTCGTTGCTCTTTTTTGGATCACAAAATCAATCTTCTTAGAAACTACATCTATAAATTTAGGAGATACGACATTGTTATGTATAAGCCTTTGAACTCTCTGAAAAGATCAACTATTTCTGGTGTTAGAAAATCAAAAGTGTCAAAGATAAAGTATAAAAGTATGTTGATTTCAGAACACGCTTTCTCATATTTGACCACTTTACTATAAGCAGCTTAGAGAGCTACATGTCCCACAATAAAACCATTATTCCTCAAATCCACCAATGGAGAAATTCCCGTCAAGCCCACACAAACATGTTTCTCTCCTACCCACCCGTACACCAAAACATCTATTAGACTAAGTGTCGATCTCCGCTCAAGTGGATCAGTAAAAAAATTCATAGGCGCCTCTTTCTACACAGATACTCCGACACGTAGGAATATATCAAACAAGACATCTCTAATAAGGTCATGTCGGTATTTGAAGTCTGGAAGCTCCCTACAATAAATCACATGTTCTCCAACTGTATCCAAACATGTCTTACGACAAACAGGGAAAACCTCATCAATAGGAAATAAAGGAATCATAAGGAGATGTCTTAGGATAGTATGATACTCCACCAGTGACATATGTTGGCCTAGCCCATCAATAGAAATAGCAAAGAGAAAGTCATGAGCATGTGAGACTTGCAAACAACTAAAAACTTCCTTCTGCCTTATGGTAGTGTCAAACTTTACATCTATGTCCTTAATAATTTTACTAAAAAACGCACTCGCAAAAACATGTTGTGCTTTAAGAGGGACGATGTCCTTACTAATAAAATTGCTAATGTCAAAATCTGGAGTCGCAACACTAAGATCATCTAAAACTCTGTCGAGATATGAGTCCATACTATAACACCTCGATTAATTTTAATTAATTATTTGTAATTGATTTGTGTGATGTTGTGTGATATTGACGTGTTGGTGTGTTTGGGAACTCTTCAGTGTAGGATGATAATCTTTAAAATTAAAAATAGAGGTGTTGGGGGTGTGTAAGTAAAAAAGTAGAAACATAGGAGTGGTTAGGGAATGTTGTTACTAGAATTATTTAATTAGATTTTAATAAGATTAAATAATAATAGTAATAATAGGATTAAATAAATAATTAGTTTTAATGTTAATTGTTTTATTTAGTTGGAATAATAATAATAATCATAATAATAGTAATAGTAATAGTAATATAATAATAATAATAATAATAATAATAATAATAATAATAATAATAATAATAATAATAATAATAATAATAATAATAATAATAATAATAATAATAATATAAGGGAATTAAAGTCAGAGAGGTTAGAACTCACAGAAAGTGAAAAGAGAAGAGAAGAGTGAAAGAGCAGGACTAGAGTTTGAGGAAGAAGAACCAAAATCTCCATCTGAGGTCAACGCTTTGCTAAGAATACCAAGGTAAATGGGGATTCCAATCTTCTTAGGGTTTACATAATGAGATGCAAGGTTTGGGGATTATGAATTGTTATAGTTATATGTTGTTCATGTTCATGATCTGCCCTTTTGTATGTTTGAATTGATTGGGTGAATGTTGGTAAGTTGTTGTGTATCGAATGAATCAATTGATGAATATTGATGTGTATGTATGTACCTTTGAATCGATCGGATGAATGTTGACAAGAATGAATAATTGTTGTTGAGTTATTGTATTTTGGTGTATTGATGCGATTGAACCTGTCCAATGTGAATACCGACTGTTTTGTAAGAAAAGTGAGATTTTTGGATGGTTTAAAAGTGATTTTCGTGTTGATAAGCAGCTGAAAAGTGCTTTTGCTGCAAGTGTAATCGATTACATGATAAGAATAATCGATTACACTGTTGAAATGGATTTTTGGGCTGTATGCGAAGGCGAAATCGATTACGAAATATGGGTAATCGATTACCACTTGAAAAATGGGTTTCAGGACTGTTTTCGAGGCCGTAATCGACTATGGAATATGGCGTAATCGATTACCGTTGTTCTGGCATAATTTTGTAAAACTTCAAAAATTCATAACTTTTGTTCCAGGTGTCTGTTTAACACGCTGTTTGAACCTACGTGTGATACGGTGGAAGAACTAACTTGGGTGTTTTGCGTTTTATCGTAAATGTTGCGGTTAGCAAGAATCGCCACTGACTTTTCTTTTATTCGAAAGGAAAGAGTGAAAAGAACAGGAAATACCTTTGAGATTATTTCTTGAGTTCGGGGGGTAGATTATGAAAAGGGGAGGTGTTAGCACCCTTTTCATCCATAGTTATCTATGAGCTCTTAGTTGCTTGCTAGATCACTTGTTTTTGTTTAAAAATGTGCTTTGTGTGGTTTTTTGAAAGTATTTTGAAAATGCTCCATCGTTTAGGCAAACTTTGTAATGATTCTTGTTCGTAAGAACGTATACAAAGTGTTGGTCTTTTGAAAATGTTTCACATTTGGAAAATGTTTCGAAAGTATTTTTGAAAGTGTTGGTGTTTGTTTTGAAAATAAGCAAGGATATTTGGTTTTAAAATGAGCAAGCAACTAAGAACAATCTACCTACTCAAAAGTCTTTGTTCATTTCTTCCTTTCCTTTGATATTGCTATCTTACCATTGATTGGTAAGAAGCCTTATCTTTGGATGTAAAGGGACGGGCGTGGGTCATCGTATAGTCATGATAACAATGTTGTGAGATGTCTTAACATTTCTCTTTGAGGGACTAAGATCATTTTGAAAGGCAATACTTGTAGCGTCATCGAGGGGCTATGATTTTGTATTTTTGATTTGTTTTTTCTAAGACGTCCCACATGCATAACATGGCCATTTTTGTAAGGCAACAAAGTGGAATTACCCTAAGGGTGCAAGTGTGCAAATGTGTCTGATTTACATGCATTGTTTATCTTGAATTAGGGTTTGCTACTTGTTGATTTTATCTTTCCATACAAACCCTAATTACTAACATTTATATTAAAGCGATAAATTGCGGAAAGTAAAATTACTACGCTATTACATTATTAGGGGATGGGGATATAAATTTACAAATGGGGATGACAAATAAAGTAAACCCTGATTACTATTACAAGACTTTGACAATTACATAATTTATAATGCAAAACTAGTAAAATATGCAAGAAGATGTAAAGTGAGAGAAATTGTTTTTTTAGGGTTTTTTATAGAAAAGATTTTGTAATTAATTTCATTGAAGAAAAACCTAAGTCTAAGTTAACTTTAAAAAAAACTAATTGTTTGGAAAAATGTTTTTGAGGTTTCATTTGGAAAAAAAAGTTTTATAGTGTTAGGTTATTTTCAAGCAATGCAATATGTCCAAAATAAGCTAAAAAATCTCAAAAATCAAGAAATTTGGTGCCTGAGTTGACACGGGTCGTGTCAGTGGACACGGGTACCCGTATCAGGATCTATCCATGACTTTTCTGCATTTTTTGTTCCAGCCAATCTGACACGGGCGCCCGTGTCAGCCCATGTCCATATTTTTTTTTGCTCGTTTCTGAACCAGTAACACTGACATGGGCCGTGTAGTTTGACACGGGCACCTGTGTCATCCCTTGTCCCTGTATTTTATTATGTTTTAACCCAACTAAGTTGACACGGGCCGTATCGTGTGACACGGGAACCCGTGTCAGCCTCTGGTCTGGCTTTTTGCTAGTTTTTTCTCTTTGATTTGTCTTGTTATATCTTTTAAACGCAAAAGTAAATGATGTATGAATAATGATATCATAGTTTGAGAAAGTTTACCTCTCGAATAAGAAGTTTTAGAACACGTACGAATGTTTTCGGGTGTAAAGTGGTGATTAATCGAGCTCCTTTGAACCTTCTTGAAGTAGCTCCAACCTTCCTTTTGTGCTGAAAATGGTTGAACCGCTCCAACCAAGTCAAGTTGCAATGTATGTTTTTTGAGTTTGGAGGATGGTGATAGTGATGTTGCAGAAGTTGTTATTATGTTTGAACAACTTCTATATGATGTATGTGAAGTGTTTGGATAGTTTGTTTGGAGAAAACTTGTAAGGTATGAGATTCAAAGATTTGGACTTCAAAGCTTAAAAATGGAGGTTTTATGGACAAATCTGGTTTTTGACAGCAAAAATGATTTTGAGTGTTAGTTTCTCCTTCTATTTTTTGGCCCCTTCCTCTTGCAATTGGCCTCTCTATTTATAGAGAAGGTTTGAGACTT